ACAGCCCCCATTGTGGCTTCGTCTGCTCCACTCTGAGTTCCTTGGAGATGGTAGAGAGCATACGCCAGATGATTAAATTCAAAGCAGCAAAACATACGGAAATTATCCATTGTTTCCGCAAATCATTAAAAATAATTACAATTCATTATTTTTTTTGGGATTTTTTTCATTAATTTCATAAAAAAAATTCATTAATTTTTATATTTTTTTTTTATTTTTCGGTGTAATAATAAACATATACCGAATCGAACCGAAAACCGTGACCACGAAACCGTGAACAGAACTGAACCGTGGATTTTGTGAACCGTTCCACATATATATATATATATATATATATACAACATCAGTAAAGATGTGCAAAATTTCAGTAGCATTCCATTTAAAGTGCCTGAGAAAGATTATTTGGTTGATTTTTTTTCTGTAAACCACCTTGAGATGATTTGTTGTGAATTAGTTCTGTATAGTGTGAGTTAGGAAGCTGAGGCAGAGGCAAATTTAGCAAATACACAGATTTATTTCACGTCCGCAGATGAGAGGAAAAAGCTCTGACTGGGGCAAGCTCAGTATATACATTGATACAACAACTCCCAGCATCATGCTGTCAGGAGGCAGCTGCCAAGGGAAGCTGATTCAAGATAAACATAGAAAACTTGTTGGAGGTTAATTAAGAACTGGGGACTGCAGCTGTGTTCCTCCTCTACTTCGACATTTGTGTGTTTAATGTGAAAATATCTTGTCTAATATGTCTTCTTTCTTCATTGGGGAGGAGGCGGAAGATGTTAGCTACTTATATGAACCGTTTAATACCAATTGATATCAGTTTACACAGAATGAGACGTTTGGAAAGAGATAATCTGATGTCTGAATTGATCTTTTTGTCTGTGGTCCATTTGGTCGTAGTGGTCTAATGAGAGCTGTGGAGGATGCCTTTAGAGGTGACCATGAGGTTAAAATGTCAATTCTTCTTTAAAGCAGGGGGTGAGATCAAGATCCATGTGACCAACGAACATTCCCAATCCACCATCAGCGCCAACGCAAACAAGAAGAGCCAGCCCTCCATGTACGAGCAGCTGCGGGACATCTCCATCGATAATATATGCAGGTGAGTTCACACAGCAGGGCTTATATTTACCAACCGTCTCTGCTGGTAAATCAGTTTTATACTTTCTGTTACATCAGATTCAGAACCAGAACATCTTCGATCAAAAATATCAGTGATTTTGGATTCATCTTAATTCAGTTTAGCAGTTTTTCTTCCCATTGCTTTGCTACAAATCAGCATTGGCAAAAAATGTCCCAGCCCGGTGAACAAGTCTTTGTGCTTGACTTGGAAGTCCTGTGCTGGGTGTCCTAATATCTTGATTAAGATAAAAAAATGTTATTATCGTATTTGAACTCACCGTTTTCCCCCAGGTGCCTAAAAGCCGGACTCACCATGGACAACGTCATCGTAGAAGCTTTCCTCGCCAGCCTGTCCAACCGTCTCTACATCTACCAGGAAAACGACAAGTAAGCCGGCCCTTCCCTACTCACCCCTGACCTTAATGTCCTTAAACAAACCTGTGAGTTCCTCTCTCCTCCCCCTCCAGGGATGCCCACCTGATTCCGGATCACACCATCAGAGCTTTGGGCCACATCGCTGTAGCTTTACGGGACACGCCCAGAGTGATGGAGCCCATCCTGCAGATCCTGCAGCAGAAGTTCTGCCAGCCTCCCTCTCAGCTCGACGTCCTCATCATAGATCAGCTGGGCTGCATGGTGATCACAGGAAATGTGAGAGCCGGCACGTTTCTTTTTAATTAAGAGATTCTACACCTCAGTTAGTCCTCATGTTAATAGCTTAACGTCTCTTTCTTTGCTTTTAGCAATACATCTACCAGGAAGTGTGGAATTTGTTCCAGCAGATCAGTGTGAAGGCGAGCTCCATGGTTTATTCAACCAAAGACTACAAGGACCACGGCTACAGGTGAAGTTCAAACCATCTTTACTTTGGTTGCTTTACAG